GTCCATTTATGATGAAAATTTTACTGTAGACAGAAAAAGAGCCGAACTTTCCAACAGTGAGCCGAACAACATTGTATCTTCTTTCTAACGCGAAATAATATAATAGGAAAATATCGTTGATGTTAGTCTTATATCTCAGTCTGGGTAAGGAGTTAGAGCTCAAACTTTTGCCTGCGATCATGGCTCATTAAGTTCTTCTTATGATAGAAGTTTCAAGGTAAACAACCCTTATATCGATGGGTTTTGCCTAGCTGCGAGACTTTTGTCCACGACTGTAGCAGGATATTGGACATTTCTAGAACGGAGGATTGATTATTACAAGTTATATTCTTTAGAATACGTATTATCAAAGCATGATTTAATGATTGAAATCCTGTTTTGAATACTTCCATTTTCTCAATAAAAAAAAAGGATTAAGAGATGAAGACCAGTGATAACAGATTCTTGTATCTATTGTACCAACGCAAATAGCATAGATTAGTGAAGATCAAATGCGTCTTTGATTATTAAAAAATTATCATGTAGTTGAAGTATCATCTCTTCTTAGCAAATCTCGTAGTTGCTGTTGTGACTATCATGATTGTTATAGAAAATACTGTTTATTTCAGAAGATAGATCAATCTGTCATGTAGTATATTGGAAGAAATAGAAAGGAGACCTCTTTTTCATTCAAAAAAATATTGGCATGCATCATTATCAACGAGGCCTATGAAGTCAACATCCAGAATGTTAGCTGAGTGATCAATCATCTGCGTTAAACACTATTGGTAAGAACCTTATGAAGAAAAATACTACAGTACGACAGAAAAACGACGAAAGTAAAAACTAGAAATGATTCTACCACTGCTAACTTATGACTAACTGCTTCTTGACTAGATCGTAGCACAAGGACAGTGATAACCAAAAAAGAACATTATACTCAATATCAAATGAACAATTAACAAAAATCTCGTGAACTCATTGTATAAAACCAAAGATGCGAGAAGAAATAAAGGGAGAGCCATAAGTCTTGGGCCCTCTCAGAAAAATTGCGCTTTCTCCCTTATAACAAACCCAAAAAAAGCTCAGACTTTGGTATATGATCCATTGTAATATCATGAATATTATGCTAAATTTTCATGTGCCTATCTCTACAAATAAGGGAGATATATATATTAAAATTTTACAAATTTTGTTTTCCATGTGTTAAAAACAAAAAATTACCGAGGATTTGCATGGAAACATGAAGAAAAATGCACAAATAACGCTATTATAATAAATATATTCTAGAAGAATTATGTGGAATAGAGTTACATCAGAATAGCAATTAGATGTCTGTAGTCTATTTATATAGTTGCCTTCAATACTGATTGATTTTAATTAGACTTATGAACAGCGCTTATTATTCGTTTATGAGAAATTTTCATCAAGATTTTCCATTGTTCAATTTTTCTTTCGTTATTTTACCTTTGACGTTTTGCTTCAAATTTACTGTTTTTATCAAAGATTTATGTCCCAAAAATATAAATAGCTGATAGAACAAATTTTGACTTTACATGATTTACATAAAAGATGCTCATCAAGTGATATTATCGATGAAGTAAAAAACAGTGATTGTTCACCACCATAAACAAGACGTTCTCTTGTTCGTTTTATAAACTATGCACTCAAAAGAGGCACAATAAATACAAGAAAGAGATCTAGAACACCAAGGACAATCAGAACAAGAAGATTTATATCATTAGTCAAATGCAATATTGAAAATAAAACAGAAACAATCGATTAGAAAAACAATTAGATTAATGAGAGGAAAACAAAGAAAGTCTTCTTATGGTAGTGTACACCTGGCAGAAACGTATGATATTGGAATAAGACTTTCGAAAATAGCACAATCATAGAAAATTAATGCTACACAACGATATCGAAGAGTAAGAAATGCAAAAGAATTATTATGAAAATTTGAAACTAACCCAACAAGATGAAATTCAAGATGAAAACCTTCAATAAATTGAGACTATTTGCGATTGCATTTTGAGTAAAAACTAATTATTGAATACTTTACTTGTGGATAAAACATTGTTTTTTGCTTTTGGGACATAGAAAACAAAATTTCTAAAATGTTAATCTATACATCTCCCTTACTTGTCGAGATAGACATCTGAAAATTTAGGATAATATTCGCCGTGTTACAAGGAATCATATACCAAAGTTTGAGCTTTTTAAGATTTGTTATAAGGGAGAAAGAGCAATTTTCCTGAGAGGGCCCAAGACTAATGGCTCACCCTTTAGTTGTGATTGAATTTATCTCAATGGATGTGTATGTCGTGATTGAACCTTAATTGAAATCAACTTCTAATTATTTCTTTTGTACGAGAAAAAGTTTTGGTCGGTATAAAAATGGATGATTCCAATGAAGAAATCATTGAAACTTTTGAATCAAACAATAATCTTTTCTTTGTTATATTTTAAATCAGCTTCAACAGCACAATATGGAACAAATAAACATCAAAAATAATGAAATAAAATAATATGCAGGTATTAGTTTTAATTTGTTTTTCTCTTGTTTTTATTGAATAGAAGGTAGTAAGTCCTTCTTCAATCGAAATTATTTCTTTTGCTTTTTTTGTTTTTTTTTAGGTATTCATAGTGGAATGAATAAAAGATAAAATTAGGGATAAGTTTATTTTCTTTTCTACAACATCCATGATATATATTTTTTTGTTGTAGTCTTCCGTATCGCTTATTCATCAACATCAACAACTCAAATCAATGAGTATCTTTTTTCTTTTTTTTGAGGTGAGAGAGGTTAGGGTGAGCCTCACAAAAGTGAGTGTTAGAAGGGGCTGGGTATGTAACGTCCATTCAGATTAGGCTCCTCTTTTTCTTGAAGGAATTCCGAGTAGGGGTGGGAAGTTACCGTTACGTTACCAAGTAAATGGTAACGGAAAAGTTACCGCCGTTACTGTTACCCGCTCACGAGGTAACTTTTTCGTTACCAGTTACCCGGTAATGGTAACGAACTGTCTCCAGTCACCATCCCACACTCTTCTGTCCTCAGGTCCTACTATAGAGGGGTACCCTTGGGTCCTCAAGTCCTACTATAGGGGGGTACTGTTCGGTTCTCAAGTCCCGCTATTCTAGAAGTTGCCCAGATAATATGAACGAACAGGTCTCCTCAAATCTAATTGGTCAAAAAATGGACCAATCAGATTGCGAGATTCTATTTCTCGGTGATATATGGGGTGGAGCCCCACACTTATACCCTTATTCGATAGAGCATCCTCGAAAATCCTAGAATCGGTCCGATCATGACTAGTAGTTGTCCGGACAACAGGAAAGAAAAGCCTCCTGAAATCTAATTGGTCGAAAAAATGGACCAATGAGTTTTCAGGAGGACTTTATATTTCCTGGGCAACTTCTAGTATAGCAGGACTTGAGGATCCACGGGTACTCCCTTTAGTAGGACTAGAGGACCCAAGGGTACCCCCTATAGTAGGACTCTTAGGACCCAAGGGTACCCGTTACCGAACCGTTATCATTATCGGTAACGGGACCGTTACCAGTTGCCGAGTAATGGTAACGGAAAAGTTACCGCCGTTACCGTTACCCGATTACGCGGTAACGGGTCGGGAACGGTAACTTCCCATCCCTACTTCTGAGTAGTCCTTAAAAGCTCGGTCAGGAATTGTCATGGTGTCCGTGGCATAGGACCGGGCTCCCCACCAGGCTCATTGACGCATAATGTTCCGCGGGGAAAGAATGTGAACTATATGAGTTTGTCCCGCGCACGTATAAGCGTTACGCTGGCCACGGTTCCATCAGGATGGTTCCTGGTCGCTTGCTCGCGAGTAGAATAGCCAATATTTTCATGAATTCCATACGATTTATTTCAAACGAAAGGAAAGAAAAAAAAATCCATCGGTATGAGTTCATTCTATTGAAAAAAGTTGAACACGATCGTTCCCAGCATCGACAACATAAAGATTGCCATGTCGATCGAAGGACAAACCTTCGGGAGCGTCGAACTGATTTGCTTCTACTCCTTGTCCATTTCCACCTAAAATAACAGCTCCCTGTTTCGCTCTTTTAGGCCAACGCATCACTCGATTATTCCCCGAGTCTACCACATAGATGGTACCCAACTTATCGACGAAGAGTCCTTCAGGATACGACAATTTTCTCAGAGAATTCCCTTCTCCTTGACCCCCAGCAACAACAATTCCTTCTTGTGCACCTTTCTTCCATTTCATTACACGATGATTGTACTGGTCTGACACGTAGATAGTCTGTGCTTGATCGACAAAGAGGTAGGTTGGATAGTCGAGTTGATTGAGACCAGTACCATTGCCATTGCCACCAGCCACGATAGTTCCATTCTTGTCTCCTATTTGATATCGTCTTACTTCATGTTTTTCAAGGTCAGAGACGTAGAAATATCTCTGATCATCCATGGCCAATCCCTCAGACTGGATGTTGTCGATGAGAATTTCTCCTTGAGTTGTGCCGCTACGAAGAGACCATCGTATGACTCGTCGATTTTCTCGATCACAAATAATGAGACTATCAGTCTCTTTGTCAACTAACACATCAGTCGGTTGATCTAATTGATCCAATCGATTTCCTTTGCCATTGCCACCAGCTACAACTTGTCGATTCGTATCATTCATCTTCCATTGGATGATACTATGGTTCGAGTAGTCAGCGATGACTATCGTGTGATCATCATCAACAAAGAGACCATGGGGCAAGTGAAGTTCACTGGCAACTGTCTCTCCATTCTGTTTCCATCGTGCATCGGCTGGAATATTGGGAATCACTACAATAAACGAAAAATAGAAGAAATCATCAGTGTCCAAAAGGGTGACCGGACTTTTTGTTGCAAGACAAATCGTTGCGGACAAATCG